TAGGGGGATTGATATTTTTGTGATTAGCCCCCAAAATTTTGCATCCTCGCGTTGAAACAACGAAAATGATACACAACACAAGTGGTATCGGACATATGAGTGCCCCACGTCATTGCGAACATGTTTAACACAAAACAATGGCACGTTAGGATTTCAAAAGTTATACTAAGATGACATTTCCATGAATTACCATGCGTAGCAAATTTGTCAAAAAAAGGGGTTCCGAGTTTTTACTCTTTGAAATAAATTGACAAAATGTCACATTCATACATTGAAATAAACATTCTCATAAGTATCATCTGCTTTCACGTTAGCGTTAGCGTTAACGTTTTTTTATCAGTAGTTACCGTTCATTCGTACAGTACATGCCGTAGGAAGGACCAGATCTGGTCCCAACAAAGGCCGCTCCCAAGAATTGTCCACATCAGGATCTTGAAAAAAGGGGATCGACCGACTGAAAAATTTTATTGCACCTTTCGATAGGTCTCGTCAAGACCTTTTCAACGAGTGGTCGGAAAGGGGGTCCAGGAGTCCGACTTCAGCAGTTATGTACATCTGAATCTTGAAAAACGAGGGTCGACCGACTGAAATAAATTATAGCAGTTTTTGATAGGTATTAAAAGTACGGGATTGCCGGGTAAAAAAGTACGGGATTCCTTGTAAAAAAAGCACGGTGTTGCCTGTAAAAAAAGTACGGTGTTGCCTGTAAAAAAACGACGGTTTTGCCCGTTAAAAAAAGTACGGTGAAGTCTGGAGTAATCAGTACAGGATTTACCGTGATCTTTTCTCGCAGTGCGTGCTGAAATCCCGCGAGAGTCAGGCGAGGAAAGGACGCCGTCGGGGCGGAGCGACGGAGAGAGTGGGAGGAAGAGGAAAGGCAAGGCGGTGCGTGCCACTGTAAGAGGGTCGCGGTCTCCGCCCGCCTGACAGCGACGAGATGCGTGGCGTAAATGATCACTTCCTCCACGCTTTTTCCCATTTCACCGCCTGGGCGCCGTCTTGGCTCGGCACGCCACGCCTCGCCACGCCACGGCCGCCTCCCCAAGACATTTACGTAGTTATGCCGCCGAGGGGTTGGAGGATTGGGGCGGCCGCCGTCCCACAGTGGGCCAGGGGACCGGCGCCGGCGGCCAAAACTCTAGACGCGTTTTGAGTTCCAGAGTCGCTACACAGGGCTCGAACCGAACGTGTGACCCCATCAATGGATTTCTCGTTAAGAGAGCAGTCCATTGGTGGGGTCACACGTTCGGTTCGAGTCCTGTTTAGCGACTCTGGAGCTCAAAACGCGTCTCGAGTTTTGGCCGCCTCCACCGGTCTTCTGGCCCACTGTGCCCAGCCCTGCCCTTCTCTGCCCTGCCGTGCCGCGCCCCGCCGGGGCCGCGAGGGTGCACGGCGCCGCTATTAGCTTCAACTTTCAAAAGGCGGACCGCCACGCCGCCACGTCGCGCGCACACCCTACACCTTTTCTGCAAACGCCGTCACCGCAGCACCTGCGCAGCCCGCGCACTGCCTCCAGATTGTCGGGCCTTAATTACAGGAGGGCCGTGCCGTGCCTTGCCGTGCCGTGCCACAGTGGGTCAGAAGACCGGTGGAGGCGGCCAAAACTCTAGACGCGTTTTGAGCTCCAGACACTCTACAAAAAATGTCCTGTCAACGCCGTTAATTTATTACCAATGTTTGCTGTTATGCAATTCACGGCGTTTGCTGTGAACTAGTTCACGGCGTTCACTGTGATCTCGGTTACAGTGTTCACTGTGATCTGGCCACAGTAAACGCCGTGAATTGGAGCCTGATTTGCAGCACTTCGGTGCTCAGCGGCGTCAAACTCACAGTGTTTACTGCGAACTAGATCACAGTGAACACCGTGAACAAGATCACAGTGAATCCCGTGAGCAGATCACAGTAAACGCTGTGAATTGACCTACAGTGAAAACTGGTAATAAATTAACGGCATTTACAGGACATTTTTGGTAGAGTGGAGTCGCTAAATGGGACTCGAACCGAACGTGTGACCCCACCAATGGATTGCTCTCCGAACGAGGAATCCATTGGTGGGGTCACACGTTCGGTTCGAGTCCTGTTTAGCGACTCTGGAGCTCAAAACGCGTCTAGAGTTTTGGCCGCCTCCACCGGTCTTCTGGCCCACCGTGCGTGCCTTGCCGTGCCCGTGCCGTGCCGTCGGCAAACAAAGTCTCCGAACAAAGTCGCCGCTTCCACGATGCACAACTTGCCCACCGTGCTGGGGCCCAAGGAACAGAAAAAAAAAATCTCGGTGACGTCAAATGACAAAGCGGTAAGATGACGTCATTGCCGACGTTTAAAGTTGGCGCTTTTGAAGTCAAGTCCATGCTCATTGATACCCTCTCGATGGATATGATAACTTGTGACGTGACTATGACACAAAATAACAAAATATCTTATCAAAAACAGCTCATGAGTGGTCACTGGATGCAGAGCTCGGAGCGCGGACTTAATTTTTAGCGCATTTGTCGTCAAGTTGACATGTTCCTGTTCCGTGGGCGTTGACCGGTTAGTGGGCCTCGGACAGAGATGAGAAAGAGAAAATTGACCCTTTCGAGGTACAGGTGCCTACATCTCTTACATGGTGACTGGTAAAAGCTTTAACAGTGAAAAGGAAGCATCACAAGAAAATAAAATTTCCCCAATAACTCACATTTTATAACGGCCGTTAATCCCACCATTTACGAGATGTCGGTACCTGTGTTTCGCAGTGGGTCTGGTGCGTGTCACTGTTCCCAACTCCGGCTTTGAAATTCATCGCTGTGACCGGTGTCGGTCGGCCCCTGGTTCAACTACCGGCGGACAGCCACTTTTTTTTCTCCGTTTCTTGTATCTTTTTTCGTGCCGTAAACGGGATTTAGGGGCGATGAGTGGCTGCGGGGGGCCCGTGTGCAAGGCACGGCTAGCCGAGTCTAGGCGGGCCGGTTAGCATTGATGAAAATAAAACGCCGTCTGTTGCGGCCAAATCGCCAAAGCGCCGTTTTCACCGCGCGATGCGCCCGCGGCGCCCGGCGAAATGGCGCTGGAATAATTCACCTAGAATGGTCGTGCCCCGCCCCGCCCCGCCTCGCCCCGCCAAGCCACCTCTAAAACGACGACGCACCGCCGTCTTGGATGTGCCTCGGGCTCGCTGACGATCTATATTTATTTCAACTACAATGCGCCGGGGCAATAAGAAATGATGTGACATGCTCGTTGCTCGTCGTTGGCCTTCTTCTTCTTCTTCTTCTTCTTCTTCTTGGGTACATTCTTCTTCTCCTTTATCCTCGAGTCTGCTTTCCACCCGCGTCCTCTCTTCCACCTCTCGTTATCGCTCTCTCTCTCTCTCTCTCTCTCTCTCTCTCTCTCTCTCTCTCTCTCTCTCTCTCTCTCTCTCTCTCTCTCTCTCTCTCCTCTCTCTCCCTCTCTCCCCCTCTCTCCCCCTCTCTCCCTCTCTCTCCCTCTCCCTCTCCCTCTCCCTCTCTCCTGCGTCGTTTCACCTACCCGTGTCCAGAGACCCAGTCTAAACATGTGCGCTTGCAAGCGGACATGTTTGTGCCGTCTCCTTTGCTTCATCCAAATTGGGGTGCACCCACTCGGTGAGGAGATACTGACGCAGAAATCCTTGAAAGTGGCGCTGGTGGAGACTTTGGCTGAGGTGGATTCGCAGGGCTCCGTTCCTGAGCAACGATAGTGTCTGAACACACTTTTTGGCCGCATGCCGCCGCCGCTTCCGCTGCAGGAGACACAAACTCGGAGAACTCTCGAGGGGGGCGTGCCTATCATTACTTCCCGTCCCGCTATGTGCGTGTCCCACTCTTCTGCCGCAGCCGGCTGGATTTCTATCCAGGCAGTGCTTTGTCCCTCTCGCACTCGCAAGTCAAGAGTCCAGAGCAAGAGAGTGAGAGGGGGGGGAGTGAGAGTAAAAGAGAGTGACTGAGTGAGAGTACAAGAGTGGGAGTGAATGAGAGTAAAAGAGTGAGAGTGAGTGAGAGTAAAATAGCGAGAGTGAGTGAGAGTAAAAGAGTGAGAGTGAATGAGAGTAAAAGATTGAGAGTGAGTGAGAGTAAAATAGTGAGAGAGAGTGAGAGTGAGAGTGAGTGATGTAGGGAGTGAGAGTGAGTGATGTAGGGAGTGAGAGATTTAGGATTTAGGTGAGTAAGAGTGTGTGTGTGTGTGTGTGAGAGAGAGAGAGAGAGAGAGAGAGAGAGGAGAGAGCGACGGAACGCGTTGTTCTGAATGAGTCTGCTGGTTTGCCTCTAACGGCTCGGCCCGGCCGTCGAGGGGTGCATCCCAGCTGCAGTGCGCCGACGCCCTTTTCCTCATACAAAGTCTGGAGGCGCTTGGCTGGGCTCGGCCGGGCCGATGCGGAGGCGCGATCCGAGCTGATGGACTCGCGGGGCGGGGCGGGGCGGGGCGCTGCTGTCGGCGTGCAACTTTCAACAGATACCCGCCCGATCCCACCCCAGCCCGCCGCGGACAGCCTGGCCCCGCCCCGCTGCCCGGTCCTTGAACTCGAGTCGGGCCCCTTGTACTTGGCGTTCGACTTTGGCAGATGAGAGAACTTGTGCAGGGAGATGGTCGTAAACAACTTGAGCTTGCCCCGCCTTTTTCCCTCCCCGGTGCACCCTGCTGCTGGCCGCCCCGCCTCGCCTCGCCCCGCCCCGCCTCAGCTCGCCCCGCCTCAGCTCGCCCCACCCCGCCCCGCCGCCTTGAGCCTTTTAGAGGGGCAATCGCTGCAATCAGGCCGGCCTTCCCGGCATCGTCTGCCTCGAATTAGGGCGACGCTGCAGACTGATTCCGAGAGACGTTTTCGTCGCTCTGTCTCTCTCGCACTCACGGGGCGTGGCGTATGCGTGCGAGAGAGACAGAGCGACGAAAGCGACTCTCGGAAACGGCCCGCTGTGAGGGATACAAATTATTACGAGGCGACCGGAAACGGTAATTGGATTGGAAGGGACTGACGAGTGGCCAACTTTAGACCGCCTTTATCCTCAGGCCCTTGTTCTGCGGAGGGCGGCCAGTTTACAACGGCGGCCTGCGTTTAGGCGGGCTGGGTCCCGACACTGTGTCGGCTGCTCGGTCCTACAATGGGCAGCGGATCAGACGCATGCGATCCGAACCTGCAATCGCAATGCCGGAAGTACAAGCAATGTACGAAACACACTACACACTAAATGTTTAGGTAGAATTTTGTACGTGCAACCCACACGACTTTGTGCATACGAGGAATATGCATAATATCATGCGTGAAAATGCACGAATTTATGCAAATTCACGCATAATTTTATGCACGACGGTACGCAGGTTTAAAATTATGCATCACCACGTACAAAATTGTACATAAACATTTAGTGTGTGCAGCCTTACTGTCTACTTACTACAAACTTGGAGATGAATGCTTCGCCGCTTTGAAATCAAAGTGAGCCCTTACAACGGCATTTCAGTGAGAGTCGTGCCACAGCTTCTCGTTGGCGCGCGTTGAAATGAATCGCCTTTTTTGGGTGATCTTCCGTTTGTGGTCAAGCTGTGGTCCGGCTATAACAACATGTGACCGGTGAGTGTCTCAGAAGGGTGGCACGTCTCAATTTTTGATTTCCAATGCCCTGGCTCACCGTAAGGCGAGTTGCAAGATGACGGTCGCTAACGGCGCACCGGATTCTCCTCTCCGAGGTGGTGTCTTGATGATTGAGCACGCAGCAGCCTCGGGGCACGCTGCTTCTTTTGCAGAGTGGGAGGGAAACTGCGCGCTCTGCGTCGGTGTGACACTGTACTGTACCATCGCCCGGCGGCGTCATGGTATGCCATGGCAGCTCCGCGTCCGGGACAGCACACCTACACGGTGTTGTCAGTGGCTCGCGACGAAAGGGTCTGTCGGGTTACTATTTCCCCAGTGTCGTGTGCTTCCGTACTGTAGCGCCATGCAACAGTTTTAATGACCTCGATTCTCGGAACGGGACGGACAGGACAAGTGAACACTCGAGCGAACAGTAGTCAACAAGGGACTCTGTGTGTTCCATAAAAGGCAGTAGTTCGTACACTGAGTGAAAATTTCGGTTGCCACTTCATGACAATGTCAAGGCTGAGTTTCCTGACAAGAATGCCATTAAACCGGTTGTCTCGCCGTGCAGTAAGTATAGAAGCTTTGGTGAAAATGTCAGCAATTTGTGATGAAATTGTCATCATTCAATGTGACCATTTCGTCGTGAATTAAATGACATCTTCAATTGAAAGTGATGTCAATGTCCTCTACTCTCTTCTATCATGAAGTGACAGAAAAATGTTACATCCACACTCCCAATTTCCTACTGAGAAATGCCGTGCTGTCATAATACTAAGCTAATTCTCAGTACTCTACGACACAAATGTATCATAATACAAAGAAATTTGTTTGTAATACCAAGAAACTGGTCATAAGTTACTGAGAACCCCTCACCATAAGTTACTACCTTCGCTGTGCTGTCATAATACTAAGCTTTTTGTTCGTATTGCGAAGAAAAAGCTCAGTAGGATCTTGGGAGTGCACTGTAAAATTTCTTGAAACTAATAGGAGATTTCACTTAAACCATTTAAAACTCATCGAAATTTGATCAAAATTTAAAAAAATGCTTACGCATTGCACGGTGTTCCGGTTGTGGAAATAATGTAAGTTAATGAAAGAAGATTTGAAGTTAGAAATACGAAGAAGGGAGTAAATTTTATATTTTGGGGCTGAGAGAGAACCGCAGCCTTTAAAAGCAAGCCAAACAACCCAACCTCAGCAACAATGGAGAGGCAGTTTCAATGTGCGACTTCTTGTTTTTTTCAGCCTCGCGATTTTCAAAAGGGCGCAGACGCCGGGAAAATTGTTGCCAACTGCGGAAAATTTATTTATTCTGTCTTTTCAGCTGTGAAGTTTTTACTAAGGACAGATTTGAATTATGTGTAAATGTTTTATCAGTGTACAATGAGTGAACATTGGGATTTGTGAATTTTACCACGTTTTAATTTCTTTTTATGATGGACTTTCAATTTTGACAGTTGGTATAATGGCAGTGGGACGTTTTTATCGAGAATTTTTCTTCATGTTTTTATCATTTTCTTAGAACAGTGATCAGTTTTTGTCACTTTGATGAGGCAGGAAGTTTAGTTTTGAGGAGTGGCACATTTTTTCTTCGAAACGTTTCTGGAAAATGTGAACGGATAAGGGTGCTTGATTGTTGCAAATTTATGTTTTGGTCGTTTACGCGAAATTTCCACGATAATTTTTTTAGATTTTCTGGATTTTTTATTGTATTATGATAAGGATTAATATGGCGGGAACGAAATGTTGATCCTGGGGGGTCCGTAGAAGAAGAATTCTGAGCGGCCCCGGGCAATAGGGGTCCTCCTTCGTCGGAACCCCTAAAAAAAAATCCACCCCGAGTGCAACTTTTACCGTGAAAATTTGTTGTCGCCTGATGAAAAATCAGTGGATGGCATTCTCACCTTTCAACAGGATCACAGGTTTATCACAAACACTGGTAAAACAAAGGCACAAAACTTATGCCCTTTGGGGCATAAATACTCGTTTCCGTGTTATGCCCTTGGGAAGGGCGTTAATGGTATAGGAATTTCAAGCAAAATTTTGATGTCCTTCCCAAAGGCATTAACGATTTATGCCCTTTAAGGACGTAAATCGTTTACGCCCTTAAATGGCATAATTTTAATGCCTTTGTTTCACCAGTGAATTTATGACATTTTCATCAAAATGATCCTATACCTTTTGCATGGGCGTGACTTCAATGTCACGAGGATGTTTGATGACTTTCTTGTAAGGAAAATGAGCCTTGACATTGTCATCAACGACCAAAATTTCAACAGTGACGTGGGACATTAGACATTCAAAACGGCATTGAAGTTATGCATCCTGCACGGGCCCCCGAAATCCGGTTGCACTGGGCTGCGGGGGCGGACGCCAGGCGGACGCACCCCACGGCCACGGCCCTTACTTTGGCTTCCGGTCCGGACGTTTCTGATGCCGTGCTCCCCTTCCCGGTTCCCCTTCCACGCCACGCGAAGCCACGCGAAGCTGCTGCTTCCTTCTCCATGAAATAAAGTACAAAGTTGAGGCTCATCCGTCACCGGTAACAAAAGTGGCACTGGCAGACGAGCTTCCCCCGCCGTCCATTGTGGCCCAGCACATGCTTAATAAACATCTTGGCGGGAAAGCCGCCGCCTTTAGGTGCACTGCTCTGCTCGCCCCCCTCCCCACCCCACCCCCAAGCCTCCACCACCACCACCGCCGCGCCCCGCGTGCGGCCAGTAAATAAACTATACGCTTCATTTTGCGTTCTTCTGCTGCCCGTGCTGCAGTGCAGCTGGAACACACCGCCGGCGCGCGCGCCCCCAATTTCTCATACTTTGTTGTTAATCTCGGGGAGCAGGGAAGGAAATTCGGGGGGTGCTGGTACAAAACGGTGCGGCGGCCGGTTTAGCTCTCGCTCACTGCACGCACTCCGAATATCTCAGTAACTATACTTAAGGCCTTAAGGAAAGGAGCCTGTTGTAAGTGACCAAGTACTTGAGCTCGATGAATGAAATGAAAGCTCATAAAGGAGAATTTTTCGTACTTTACGAACCGTTTCTTTCGCATTCCAAATTATATAGTTTGCACCTAACTTACACTTAAATTGCTTGGCAAGGTTTTGAAACGTGTGGCATACGAAACATCAGCAACGCGTCTCCACCCTCAATAAAATTGCAGAAAGGTGGAAAGTACTACACGTGTAATTCATGGAGTAAGGCCGTTATTCGTCGGAACGCCTTCTGTGATACTTTTTGCGTCCCCTCACCAATGCTTTACGGTTCAGTACACTCGAAAATAACCATTTCTTGTGGTAAGGACACTTTCAAAGAAGGCAAATTTTGGCAACTCCTTTATTTTGAACAAGGATTACCGTGATTAGAACCTTCTTTCTTGAATTTCAGCATATGTCAGGTACAAACTATTTCGTTTGTTACACGAAAAATTGGTTCATAAACTACAAGGTTTTCTCTTTGTAAGCTTATCACGTAAGCACACTCAAAATACTTTGTCGTTGCCACACTGTATATTTCTTACGGTGAAAGGCTGCACTAACATATTATGGTGGAGATTTTCTCCATATTACCAACGAAATTCGTCAAAATATTGTTAAGGTATAGTGAATTCTCAATGGTATGTTATGAAGTCAGCTGCACCACCATACTGAGGAACATTTTCACAACAATATGGAGAATCTTCACTGTACAACATTTAGAGTGCAGCTAATTTTGTTTGTAAAGCTGCAAATAGTTTGTGAGGTTTTCAGAGTGCAGCGTGCCCGTCGACGCGTTCACGTCGGCGTCCCCGGCGTCGAGGGTCCAGCGAGGCGTTACGTGAAATGTGCACGGCGTGCTATTCATCGCCGTAACGGCTCACTCATTTCGGCGTCGTTACGCCGCGCTGATTTACAGCGTAGTGTCGCCTCGGAGGTCCCGCCTCATTTGGGAAATTGAAGGCGAGCCGGGCGGAGCCGGGCACGGAGTGTGCTGCTGGCTGCGGCGGGCTGCCTCCGTAAAGTCTCTCTCTCTCTCTCTCTCTCTCTCTCTCTCTCTCTCTCTCTCTCTCTCTCTCTCTCTCTCTCTCTCTCTCTCTCTGGCGTTCGGACACAGCCTGGAGAGCCCTGCTGTCCCTCTCGCACTCGCGGGGCGTTCTGAAGAAGTGCAGTGCGAGGGAGACAGCGCGACGGGAGCACTCTTCGGGGTCGGCCTGCTGGCCGCGGCCTGATTCCGAGGGAGAGGAGGTACAGTATCTCCTCGGTCTGTCTCTCTCACTCTTATGCGAGACGCCCCATGGGAGCGACAGAGAGAGAGAGACCTCGCCCGGAGTCAGCCTGCCGGCGGTGGCTTGGAGGGCTCTGAACAGTGGCGTGCGCAAAAGGGGGAGGGGGAATCGTGGTTCGTCCACTAGACAGCCGCCTGGAAGGTAGGCAAATTGCGTCACTCTCCCCCTGTAAGTAGGTAAGTAGGCAAAAAGTATTGCCTGACCTCCCTTCCCTCCCCCCTTCAAAATTTCTGCGCGCGCCACTGGATCTGAAGCGGGAACTAGCTGGCAGTGACGTGCGAGGCTCGTCGCTGCATGTAAACACGCCCGCTGACGGTTTGGCATCCCGACGCGCGGGACGCCCCGCCCCGACCCCGACGGCGGCAGCGCGCCGCACCGCGACCCTCGGAATGAATGCACGCTGCAAATAGGAGTGGGGGCGTTATTTGCGTGAGAATGTCTCGGCAGCCCTAATATTTCCTGGGCGCGCTAAGGGAAACCTTACCGTCCCGTCCAGGCGAAGGGAGGGACGTTGAGGGGCGGTGGAGGGGAGGGGTGGGGGGGGAGGACTTCCAATTTAAAGGCCGGGTCTCCTTATTGCCCGTCGCCGCGTCGCTGCGTTGCTTTACCCTCATTCGCAGGCCGAGCCCGCTGGGCCGCGCTGGGCAGCCAAGAGCCCCGGGGCCTTCGCTCTGCCCCTTTCCCTCAGCCTCCCCCCCCCCTCCCCTCCAGCGCTGCCTGTCACCACCGCTGACAAACCAGCACACTGATTCCGAGAGCCGTTTCCGTCGCTCTGCCTCTCTCGCACCTACCCGGGGCGCCGCGTGAGTGCGAGAGAGGCAGAGCGACGAGAACGACCCTCGGAATCGGTCTGCAGGGTCTCTCGGTTGAAAAGAGGCGCTAAAATGAAGACCGCCTCTACCCGTTTCCGCGTTCCTGCGGCCGTAATAAATTGAAAGCGACACTTATTCGTCGCATTGAGGACTGGCCTGTCCGCCTCGCCGGCGCCTTCGAGTGTGGTGCCGAAGCGCGCCCCGACGCGCTCTCTC